CACTTCTAGAGAGATGCCTCAAAGAAGGAAATCTTATGCATTTCCTGGAATTTGGGGAGGGGGAGGGGGGGGGGGGCGTCACTTTGGCAGAAAGCATTGCGACGAAAAGGGAAATTCTTTGCACTGTATGTAATTCTAGGGAAGAGAGTTTCGCGCTAGAAGGTCTCTGAGTTTAAACCTTTGAATTCCTGACAATCGCTGGAACTTTAGGAAAACACTGTCCTGCTCCCCGATCAAATGTGCAAACCTTTTTCTTGTTGAAAAAGACCTGACAATTTCTACGACAATGCACGTTCAACGAAATTTCTATTGCAGCTTTTCATGAGTTTTTCAAATAGTTTGAAGTAATTCTATTTAACCTTCCGAAGCTGCAAATTGTACACTTTGATCTCGCTGGACACTTGGTATGAATGTCCGAAAAGCCTCGTCTCTAAGGAGTACCACATTAAGTAATCCCAATTTCACACCCAGCAGTGAGCAGATTTTGGCTAAATGACTGCTCAATGATGACTGAGGCGGGATACTGTTATAGAGAATATTTTAGCGGCAGTCTTCAGAATGTGAGATTAACTTGAAGTTTTTCATGCCACGCAGGTTTGTCAAATGCCAGATTTTACGAACAAAGAACACACGAAATACGTAAAATTAGTTCCTGAATGTCTTGCTAAGATGCTTTTGCAGTAAGAACAACAAAGGTTGAATTATAGCTATCCAATCATTGCTTAATGCCTGTTTCGTTAAAAGTACGGTGTTGTGGCAACAGTCTCGAACTCCTGTTTTATCATATTAGGTGAAGAAAATCGTCAAATTGATAGATCTGTTTGTTGTTACTCATAGTCGCAAGAATGCTGCAGCTTCGAATGTATCTGCCCCAACCCACTTGCTAGCGACCCGTAGGGTCGCTAGTAAATAATAATATTAATAATTAATTAACCTAATAACCGATACTTTTCAACAGCTGCAGGAAACTGTTCTCATGTAAGGTGTTTGAATCTCTTCTGTAATTTATCAAGGTTTGTTAGGGACAATGAGTGAGCAGCACAAAGGAGAGAAGGGGAGGATGAGGAGGCGGAGAGGGAATTTGGAAGAATGCACCAACGAATCTTTTTCCTTGATAGCACTTTGTTCCACACGAAAAGAATTGAATCCGAATATAAAAATTCCGTGAGTTGTCTCTCATCTAAACATTAGTCAATTCTCTTCCGAATGGCTGAGAAAAAGCGATTACCACTGCTTCTCTTGATCCAGGAGACAGAGGTCGTGAAGTCGAGACCCGGTTTTGGCAGCTTACGGCCCTATTGGGTTCGTTTGTTACAAATTTGTTTTTGGTCTAATGGATAGTATAGAATACTGTAACTGCGAACGAATGCGTCTACAGTACCCACACTAATTATTTAACAGAATAAGCAAATTGACATTCCGCGATTTTTTCGTTTCTTCTTTGAACTTCTTTTGGAAGGAAAATAATTGATTTCAAATTCATAACTTTCCGTAAGTTATTTCTCATCCAAATTTGGATCACTTCTCTCCCAAGTGGTTGGAAAAAAATGATTACCACTCTTGCTTCTCTCGATTCAAGAGCCAGAGATCTTGAAGTCGAGGCCCGATTTTTGCAAGCTTACGTCCTATTGGGTTCGTTTGTTACAAATTTGCATTATTTGGTCCAATAAATAGTATGAAATACTGTAGCGACGAACGAGTGCGTGGGACGCAATGACAGCGGAGATCTAACCAAGAATACTCAGACACTCGCACCGACCGGCGACAGTCCGACGACGGCCCTCCGGCCGGCGGCCACTCCGTAAATCTGGGCTGAGCCAAATGCTGGCCGGTGACCGCTCCAAAATATCATACCGGCAGCTCCATTGTGCAAAAGCGCGCGAGCTGCACAAAATCGCTTCTGCAGTGCATCAAAACAATTTCGACATCTAGTGCATGAAAACCTCTATTTCGACATCTTGACCTCAGGATGTCGAAACCAATCCAGATTTCGAAATCACTGTGGAACTTGTTTGTTGCTCCTTTCTCCTACGATGAATTTGCTTACTTGCCGTCCTATTTCTGGTGTGCAACTCGCTTTCTTTCATGATTTACGTCGCTGATGTTTTATCTTGTAATTACAGGTTTGCATACTGGGCCGGTAGTAATCTACCCTACCTGGTGGCATCATAGATGCCGGCAAGTTGGCACACATCGCGGAAAGATGCCAACTCCGCCGGCAGCTCGCGGAGTGATTGTGGGTTCTAATAATCTTATGTAACCTTAGCACGCAATCATTTCGCACATTAAACTCTGATGACGCAGACAGCCGCAAAATTGCTACCTCGCGCGCGTCGAACCTATGTGCGTTAACATGAAGTGCCACCACGTTAACCATTCGACCACTCGGTCAGCCACTGCTGTTTGCACCAGCAATAGAAGGAACGCGCTGGTGCTGGTAAATGGCTGCTTGTAAGAGGGATCGATACATTGCGTGAGAAACTTTGACCTGAAAGAACAGCTGATTGATATGAGCGAGACAGGAGCGAAATCGGTGCAAACGAGATTTGTAAGGGATTGCCAAAAAAGATGGTGTTCTTTGTGATTCTAAGGCATTACTGGATTTTTCTCTGTAAGAAATCGTCGTTTCAAAAAAAAAAACTCATGTAATGAGAAAAATGGTAGTTTTTTTGGTGAAAAGTAGAATTTTTGATTTTTTCGCCTGACGTAAATTTCGTGATATCGCCGCAATTAAACTCGCAGACGCTGTCGGCAAAGATGCCAGCACCTCGACGTGGTAGGGGCACGTCGAGATGCCGGCAGCTTCCTCTCTCAAAAGAGCACGCTATTTCTCGTGCTGTCTGACCTGCCGGCAGCTGCCATCTCGCGGATTTCGACGAGCTGCCGGCAGGTTGCCGACAACTGACCTCGCGAAGTTGCCGGCAGCTCCTCCTGCGCTTCCAAATATTTTTCTGCAGGAGGATTTCTGGAACCGCAAATTTCGATGGAGGTTTCTATAGGGTCGAAGTGGCATCTTTATCGAGAAAATTTTTTGGAAAAAGGCCTGGGACGGCCTAAATTTGGGGTTTTAGTTTCTGGCTCCTCACGGAAAGGTGCCAGCGACCTGCTGAGAGACCTGCCGCCAGGTCGGGGGGATTACTACCGGCCCTGATGTCAGGTTGGCGCACGCACGCTCCAAAAAGGGATCGTCTCACATGGAAGTAAGTGTTCTGTATACTTTGGAGCTGTGTGTACCAACAAATTATTTCAGGACTGTTCGAGCAAAGAATCCGTGAGCTGCAGCTCGAGATCGAGCATATTCAACAACCTCGAGAGGACGCTGAACGAGGGAGAGATAATCTTGATCGATTTTGTAGTATACGTTTTACATAATTTTACTTTAGTATATATTTTACATAGTTTAACTGTAGACTGTGCTTGTAGGGTTGCCCGATATCGAATTCAGCGGAGCAGAACCAGGGCCGTCAAGGGCAATCGCAGGTAGGTTCTCAGATTTTCTAGTCAAAATATCATGCTTCTGTGAGTCCGCTATCGAGCATAGGCGCCTTTTGCCGATCGTCCTTTTTTCGAAACCTTTGGATGCTTTCTTCGATAGTGGATCCACTCCACCTCAACCCTCATATGCATTCCTCGACCATCTAGATCTCTTTCTGAGCGTTTTTGCAAACCTTTCTCCTTCTTTCATATCCTGTTTTCAAATCAAAGTGAAGGTCTTTTTGCAAACTCTGCCCCTCAATGATCTCTGGTCTTTTTCTCTGAATATCCTTAGCACCAATTGGTGCTGTACACTTTCTTTTAGACGCGACGTCGGAAACTATCGATACGATTTTGAGGAAGAAAGATTCATACCCAGCAATGTAAGTTTCCATACATTCGCTATTTTCTCAAAAGTAATCACCCTTTTTCAGAGGAAGGGCAAGCGAGCGCGCGTATCTCCCAGGGAATTGAAGAGGGAAACAAAAACGTTTCTCCCCGTCAGCAGCGTCTGTGATGCACTTTTCGCTTCTTGTAAAACTGTATATCTGTTCAGAGAGCTTTTTGAATTTAATCACTTCGCATGTATGTATTTTCTCTTCTGTATCTTCTCCACATAATCTTTGTATCTCGTCTCCTGCCTTATATGTACTTTTTTTCTGTTTCTTTTTTGAACTTGCTTCTGCACGGCCTTGGCGTGGTTTTCCATTTTGGCAACTTTTTTGTCAGCGAAGGTTTTTTCAACATAAGATGAGGCGGATAACACTTTTGGATAATGTGCTCACAAATACCTCTTTGTATATCCAAAAACAGACTAAGACAGCGAAGTTCAAAAACGACTGCAAAATTTTGTGACTGCACTTGTGAAAACCGTGCCAAATTTGTTCTCATTTTTCTATATCCAGAAATATCCTAACCTCCATTTTCGATTCTCATCGCATCACAGGGGTCCAAAAATATCCTAAACTCCATTCTCGATTCTCATTGCATGCTAAGGCGTTCTTGGTGATAATAATTTTCTTTTTACATTTCTTATATGACATTTTATCTCATGATCTAGAAGTTTTTCCTCAATTTATCCAACATTTTGCCATATTTTTGCCATATTCTGCAATGATCATTGAGTGCAATTCTTCTGTAATCAATTTATAATCCAATAAACTTTAGTGTAGACGATTTAGAAAGCGTGCTCCATTAGCTGTCTTTTACTAGAATCAGACATCTATCGGCCGGTAATCGCGCGACCTAGAGTATGAGAAAAAACGCGCCCTGTTATCGGTCTGTTTCGCCGTTACCCGGTATGCATCGGTTGGCGGCCGTCCGAATACGGCGGCGGGCGTAGACTATGCGGCTGAGTGAAATAACTGTGGTCCCACCAGCCGGTCTTTGTGCGGCCGCCGGCCGGTGCGAGTGTCTGAGTATAGTTGCCGTAGACTTACGCAACTACATGTTTCCATTCTTCGAACGCCAACAATGTTCGCTGAAGATTTATAATGGATTTTCAGACAAGCTGAAAAACTACAAAGTTCATTTCTTTATTGTTCAGATGAAGTTTTTTGACACATCGTAAATTAACTATGCAATATACACATTCGCCATTTTAACCAGTGTGCTCAAGTCTTGCACGCTGTTTCATTGCAACTTCCACCATCTCGTGGCTGATATCATCCGCCATCTGTACTCTTTCGGCTGCACTCATTCTGTTTTCGCCATACTTTGCTTTGAGAGCCTGTAAATTAGCAAAGCAATTTAATCGATCATGCCCTATAATAAGTCGCTTAATCTGTAGCTGCGCAAAAGTTTGTCTATTACGAAAATACAGCGAGAATTGATTTACAATATTTCAAAGCGTGGAGAGCTGCAAAACAAGGGAGGTTCAATTTAGCATTACTCAGTAATGGCTCAGCTGAAGAACGTTCGAAAACTAACTATCGCTACGTATATCCTGCGAAGCAGAGGTGACCCACTATACATACAAGGTGTATCAAAAAATGTCTGTCAAAATTTTGAGGTACCTAATATGACAAAAAAGCAAAAAGAAAACATTTCGAGTTGACTAAAGGTTCTGTGATTGGATATGGTACCATTTCAGGGACCCTATCCGTGGCCTCAACAATCTGGCGATGCATTTTTCGCCACTATTTCAAAGTATACTGTATATGATTGGAGCGCAATATCTATCAGCGCATAGATTCACACTACTTTTGGCTCGAAAAAAGAGGAGAGGCAATGGTTTGATTTGCTCTTTTCACTATATGATAGATTTTTGACCGTTCTATCGTCCACAAAAAAGAGCCAAAACTTATGCGAACTCTTCGATATATATGCTCCGAATCAACCCAGTTGGTTTGGTGTTGGTCTAGAAACCAACAAATTCGGGAACGGATATCAGGACACATAAGTTTTCGAAACTTTTTATATAACATAGTTTGGAACAATATTGCATACACATAGCCCAAATTCGGAGCCTTTTGATTGTTTGTGCGCTGTAAACAAGCCATTTGTTTGTTTGAGTCTTGCGTTTGAAATTCGCGCGCTTACAAAAGAACACGTTCAACTCGTGAAACCTAACATGTTCGTCGTTTTTTTTTCGGCGCTTAATCCAGAAACCTTATAAAAACGATATCCCCCTTGCTTCTAATTTCAAAAACGAAGTCCAGTTTGACTTCAGACCATCTGCGCCGGGCCCTGGATAAGGCTTCCACAAGAGCTGATTTTAGGTTATGCGCTGCGAATAGGGGCCACTGCTTGTGTTCAGCCATGATCTACCTCTTGCAATGCAAATTAAGCGGCGACGAGCATCATCAAGAGGGGTATATCACTGTGTCACGGAATCAAAGAGTACCTGGATGAGATGCTTACATCAGGACTAGCGGCACCCGTTCGGCCTCGGGCAGAGTTCACGCAATTTCATCTCCGCAATTCTTTCCATAAGACACAGTTACGAGTGCACTATTCCACTTGATACAACCCAAAAATTGAAAAACACGGTTTTTCTGAAAATTCGCTTGAGCAAATTTTTTAGCAAAAGAGTTAATCGACCTGCTAATCGCGATAACGATATTTATTTTGTATAGTGGGGTCTTTTCTGAGAGGTTACGGTAGGCGTGCACTATGGGGTAAAAATCTCAGAATTCGCTAAAACTTTACATACGGTTTATTAGACATGATGACCGTATTCATATGAATACCGTATTCATTCCTCACGAAAACAACTTATAGAGTTACGGTAGGCTTAGGTATCGCTAAAGTTCGCTGTCCTGACCTCAGAATTCGCTGAAGTTTTAGGGAATTCTGAGGTCGGGTCCTCAGAATTCGCTAAAACTTTGCGTAAGCGAGTAAATGATGATCACAAATACAACACTTTTTCTGCACGAAAACCTCTCCTCGTATGGTTACGGTGGGTATATAGTAAGGGGACAAAATCGTAGATGCCTGAAACTGTTTATCTGATGTGCTCTGATGTCCTCATCACGAATGCCGCGCTCATTTCGCTTATAAAGCCTTCTCGCGAATTTTTGGGATCTTGATTGGTGTGAAGCGGGAAACATGCTTACATATTCAGACAATCGCTGGGGGCAGGCGGGCACCGGAAAAATAGATTGCTGATTTCTCGCACCCCGCTCGCGGATTTTTTGCAAAGCAATCAGGACTTTTCGGAAGACCGCTTGCTGAGTCAGCGGATTTTTGAGAGACCGCCTGTTGAATTTTTTTCGCTCTTATCTTTTGCAGATATATTGCTGAATCTCTGAGGAATCGAGAACTCAGCAAGCGGTCTTCCGAAAAGTCCTGATTGCTTTCCAAAATATCCGCAAGCGGGGTGCGAGAGATCAGCAATCTATTTTTCCGATGCCCGCCTGCCCCCGGCGATTGTCTGAGTAAACGCTGCAAATTGCCATAACTCTACAATAAAGCCTTGTTGTAGCGAGCAAACTTGGTATTCGTTATTAGCATGCTTGAAAAGCCCTCTAGGCGACTTTTTAAAGAAGTTTGAAATTTTCACCTATCCACCGTATATCCACCGTAACTCGAGGAAATGGCGCTACCGTACAGAGCCAATATGATACCCTTGTTCAGCGTGCTAACCCTTCCAGATCAAACTCCAGCCAGATAAATTTTGAGGTCCAACCGTGCATTTACCGTAGCTATAGAGGAAGACATTTCCGTGCGGAAAAAGCATACTATTTGTGATCAGCACGTCGAAGAATCCCATATGCAAAGTTTTAGCGAATTCTGAGATTTTGACCTCGTGCCATGTACCTACCGTAACCCCTCAAAAAGGCCCCCATCATGCAGAATGATTATCACTTCCGTGATTAGCGCGTCGAATAACCCCCCAAGGCGAGTTTTCAGCGAAATTCGTGGTTCTTAATTTTTGTGTTGTATTAAGTGGAATATTCTTTTCGCTATTCTTTTCACAGACTACTCTTACTGATATATGCATACTATTTTCCCGTAATAGTCACTCTCCCAAGAGAAAAAGAGAGAAAAAAAGGAGTTTTAGGAGCCAAAGTCGTGAATTCTCCAGCTTTTGGTCATTTTGGATATTCGGAGTGATTTGATTTTGTAAAGAGCTTCTATTTGAAAGAATTCTTCTTTGGACAGCTTTGCTTCTCTGCATGGTTTCCAATAAAAATATGAATTTTCTACTATTCAAAATGATATGATATCGAGGATATCACCCTATCCCAGAGGGTGATTTCGCACCTCACAAGGTGCGAGGAAGCCTCTCTGCAAGAATTAGAGCGTAATTATTGTACCAAATGCAGCGGCTTTGTCGGCAGCTCCCGCGGCTGGCTGCGGCAGGCACTCGGCTGCCCGGGTACCACTTGCTGCGCACCCTACCGAGTCCACTGCGTTCCGGTCATCTTGCACTTCGGTTGTGGTAGTTAGTTACGATTGATTGTGTTGGAGAACTATCACAGCCGAAATGCAAGATGATCGACAGCAATAGACTCGTAATTGTTTGTTTTGTTGGAAGAATCGCGGCGGTGAAATCGCGTGAGCTTTGCCCCCCCCCCCCCCCTCAGCCGTTCATTCTACAGTAAGTTTCGGCCCGCATTAGGCGGAAATTGGATTGCGGGCGTCCGCCTCGCAACAGCTCGCGCGTTTCGCAGCTACACTACATCATATCGTGCTGAGAACCGAGGTCTGCGTCTCTCCCTTCTCCTCAGTCCCTGCTTGGCAAAATGCCAGCGCTATGCGCTCGCGAGACTTCCGGCGGTGCGTACGCGCCCCTCCTTATGGGATGTTCCGCCTATTCCGGGGTGAAACCGACTGTACATGAGTTACAGCCCGCTTAGTCATGGAATGATAGTGCACTGCATCAAGACACCAAGTCCCTCATTTTATCTTGCTGACACCACGTACAATACTCCGATACTCCGATGCATTCATTTTGATAACATTGCTGACTGAACGTAGGTGATTTCGTTTTATAAAACTAAAAAATAATTAGCTTACGTTTTCTTGGATATGCTTAGCCTCCGCTTCTCTATCTCTTTCGTTGTAGTGGATAGCAGCCTAAACTACAGCAACTTTCGTGAAGTAAATACGGTGGATTCGCCTCAAAGAATGGATGATGATGATTGATCGAAGTGATTTACCAAAAATTCTTTGTACACTGATTGATCAAAATCCGACTCCTGGTCTGGCTCTGGGCTGTCCTTACCACTAATAGGCCGAGTTAGTGCCACAAGTATGAAGCACATGAGAGCAGTGGTAGACGAAAACTATAGAGCCGAACTGTTCTGAACAAATTCGAATTTAAGAGCAATGCTCACCGCAATCATGCCGTTTGAAATGATTCATACCGCTTGGATGTGGTTATAACAGTAAACTGCTTTCCGTGGTCATGCAAAGTTTTCGGCTAAACCGCAGAACCTGGGAGACGGTCTTTTCGCACGGGCGGTCTCAAGCGCCACCCTGTTTTCACTTGTCTTAACACGTCACGAACAACCTTTCCTCCCGTTTGCTTAGGGAAGCCGCCGCAGGGTGTGTCGCGCGCGCGGTCCTGTGTGGAAAGCATCACAGTCGTGCGAATCGCCCTACACCCGCAGAACTTAGACAATTTGTCGTAATCCAACTCCGATAAATGTATAATGGCAGGGTCCACTCAAAATTCATGCTGCTCGGATAAGTTTGCCGTATACAGCCCTTAAAGGCAGTGGGTCGGCAGAATGAGACCCGTGGCAAAACAAGGTCACAGGGTAGGAGCCCCATAATGGAACCTATGGGCCAAAGTTCGATCTTCCTCTGCCACTTCTAACCCCCGAAATTTCAAAGCGAAGGCAGCGCTCATCTCCTGTCCTCTCCGAACCCGCCCACCCCATGGACGAGTGACTTCCGCGGTCAGAGCGCCAGCCGCAATGCTATAAGCATGAGGTCCCGCAACGACTTTGCGTCTTCGCCATGACGGGCTTCGCGTTCACTCGGCCATGGGGTGGGCGGGTTCGGAGAGGACAGGAGATGAGCGCTGCTTTCGCTTTGAAATTTCGGGGTTAGAAGTGGCAGAGAAAGATCGAACTTTAGCCCATAGGTTCCATTAAGGGGGCTCCTACCCTGTGACCTTGTTTTGCCATGGGCCTCATTCTGCCGACCTACTGCCTTTAAGAGTAGACCACCCGCGTTGGCCCTGTCCCCATGTTGCTTCCAACAGAAGAATGTGGAGTTGCTACTTCGAGAATATTTTACCGCCACGCCTCTTTCTCCGTACCTCCATACAGGAATGATTCCCTGTCGCGTTTTGACGGGTAAGAATCAAAGCGCTAGTTCTGCAAATGTGTTCCTGCTACGACAATATTTATTTTGCCTACGACGGAATTAACGCCGGAACAGTCGTCTGCGTTTGTTAAGATAGGGTTAGAAATGAGATTTTCAGAATATTTGAAACCCATATTCAAAATCAAGGCAGGAGCCTAAGAATAATGAAAACATAAAAGACGAAAATCTGGGCGAGTGCTGCCTTTGAAATCCGATAGCCCTTGTCGATTGATACCGTGAATGACGCTGAGATATAACCTGTTTACTCGTTAATGCTGGCAAACGACAATTTTGTCATGAGGTAAGCACGCTCTACGAAAGCTAGATTTTGGTGCTATGAAAGTTATTGTCGCACGCACTGGCTGCATGGCGCAAAAGTTTTTGGTTTTTCCGTAAAGACGCTGTCTCTGCTTAAAGGCAGCGTACACCCAAAATTTGGCTTCCATGTTTTTTCCATCCCGGTGCTTTTCCGTGACCCTGATCACACTTATGAAATTCATATTCTCAAAAACCCCCAAAAACCCCAATATCTGAGGACCCTCTCTGCAGAGGGCGGACGAGTTTCGAATTGCTCGACCTCGTCGGCATGCCAGCGAGAGCAGCTGCAACTGCATGACAGCCTGCAGTGGCGGCTGCATCTGGCGTACGCTTAAGCTTGCGCTGGCATGGATTCGTCTGAAGGAGGTGAACCCAAAAAAGGCTGAGCGCAAAAAGAATCAGGCGCTTTTCTCCCCTTAGAAGCAACCACGGGAGACCGGACCAACGCAATTGGTCCTTCTTCTGAGTCGTACATATACACCGTATAGAAAACTGAGTAGCATACATTTCGGGTGTACACTGCCTTTAAGAATTCAAATGTCTTACGCACATTAGCTGTTCCAATGGCTCTGAACTCCCAATATCCGTATCTTTCCGATTATGGACAGGAGTTGCTGCGATTTCAAACTTTTGACTGGTTATCCGTTTGAGTCGGCACTCAGAGTAGACCATAATGGCGCAGGGTGCATCGCGGACATTGAGAAATGACTCTCATGCTGGGGAATTTGCAAACCTTTTTAGTTCCACGTTATAAGTTTATCATCGCGCAGGCAAGGTGCTCAGCACAACACAGAATTTTCTGGGCATTGAAAGTAGAGTTTTGTAACCTAAACGTGCTTATGCCAGGGCGAGTCGAGGCCGCCTGCATATCCGAGCAAGTACGTAGGAAATCGATCGTAGCCCCAAGCAAACTTCTTTATGTTCAACAATTTGAATTCTCTGATATATCCAAAACATTTTGAAACGTTTTTTCAGCAGTTCCGTGACTTAGAAGCATGGCGAAAGAGAAATTCATAGTTGTAGTAAAGCAGCTGTTGTTAAGCAGTTGCTAATCGTGGTAAACGAATTGACTTTGCTGTAATGAATTTCGCCATCTTTATACCAAACCTATTTGGGAGCAGCAGCAACAAACGCAATTTTACGTATATTGACAGAATCCACATGATTGTATCAAGATCTTCAATTCTGTACAGCAGAGACAATATGAATACCAAAAAAAATTGGTTGTAATTAATTTATAAATGTTCTGCGACGTCAATCAGTAATACATTCAGCAAACGCTTGTACTTGAGGGCATTTGCTTCCTAGCGCCATGATGCGAGGCAGCGGTGAAAAACTTTCACCAAGAGAGTGCCAACGACGATTGCTCATATCGTGGATCTGCAGAGGCCTTAGGTTGAGCCAGACTGCGCAGCGTATGCGGCATACATGAGATACGCTACACAGTCTGCTGTATACGCACCTTTATGCACGTACGCACACTTACACGAAGATACGTCGCGTACACCGCGTACGCCACGCAGTCGCTTAACCCGTGACCCTAGCTGGCGGCTGCTTGCGACATCAGGCTGGTGGTGTTATACTTGAACTCCTCCCTTAACATTGATCGACTCGACTGGAGGACTGTATGCGGGTTGATGGAGCCCCTGCGACACTAGCGCCAAAGAAAGATGGCCAGCAGAATGCACAGGAAGAGATTAGAAGAAGAAGATTTGTACGTATCAGTCGACACGCTTACAAAAGTTTAGTTAACGATTGGGTTTCGGCAATTTTTTCGATTTTGTGTGCTTCGCATGTATTCATCGTTGTAAACAATAATTTGGCTGAAAACGGGATATGTTATTCATAGAAAAATATGCTATACCTCAGAATCACCGTAAATTTATGTGCAAGTGCCATACAAATTACAGTCGAGTAGATTTAGCGGTAAATATAGTGTGCTTGCACAGAAGGTAAAATGCGGTGAAATTTGCGCGTGAACAAGTAGCCACGTCAGTACCGCGGGTATCTTGCGCGCGCAATTGGCCGACGTCACAGTCGAAACTATTTCTTCACGCGCCAATTTCACCGCATTTCACCTTTTGTGCAAGCACACTATATTTACCGCTAAATCTACGCGACTGTACATATTGAAGGGAGCTTTCCAATGCGACAGCCTTCAATGACTGCTGCAGGGTCCAAAGTCCAGTAAGAATGTTTGCACTTTTCTCAGCTTTTTGGTTGTTTTTGTTTACTACGCCCATAACAACCTCCGGAAGGTCCTCCACTACCACGTAAAATTCTCAAAGCATTTTACTCCCGCAATTTTTTCTTGAGATTCCGGGGGCCTTCTTAGGTCCATGTTCAGAGCGGAAAAATCTTGCTCGTTGTGAGGATGACTTAACCGAATTCGAGAACTTACAGAATTTTGCAAAACTTACGGTTATCTTTCGTCTAGCAGGAGAAAGGACAAAATAGATTCTCTAGAAAAAATAGGAAGAAATTTTGTTTTAAACATGGATGATGCCTATGAATATACTCATGAAACAATGCCATGTAAATTTGAAGGTTTTTCTTGCCATTCAAAATACGAATAATTGTGAAAATGCATCTGAAGGATGCAAGTCTTTTGGAGCTTCTGGATTCGATAAGCCAAAGGAGAAGAACATAAATGGTAATGAACAAATGAGAAATATCCAAATGTTGATATGCGTGATTACACAACGGCTCGATATGTTTCCCATATAGGGGTACTTTGTGCCATCACACTGCTAACGTTCATGCGGTATTCCATTCGGACGATGACCTCTTGATGCTCCACTGCTGCATCTAACAAAGAAGCAGCCGGTGATTTCCAGTAAGCTGCCAACCGAATTGTCAAAATTAGACCGATGGCATGTCCTGACCTTGTTGAGGAGATGATAACGCTGGGAATATGACATCGGCAGACCTAGAAGAGAATTATCGCAATGTAAAAAGTAGTTATCTTTGATGTGAAGAAGCTGCTTCTATTTGGGTAAGGCTGCGTTCATACTGATTCCGAAGTTCGGGAGCAGTTCCAGCACAGCGCTCGAACTAAGCGTTGTGCTGGAACTGTTCCCGGACTTCGGGATCAGTATGAACGCAGCCTAAAATGTACGTTCGTTTGAGAATGTGATGACTCTCAATGGCATTCTTTAAACTCACCTTGAAGCTGCGGAAACGGCATGATGTTCTATTTCTCGTATGATCGTTGAAGAAGTTGTTCTGAACCTTGAACGTGATGATGCGTGTTCAAACTTATCTTTTCAAGACATGAAATATCATCATGGTTTTGATTTGGTTAGCCACAAGCCTTTCAGAAAGACTAAAGGCTTGACGCTTTTGTTACAATACTGCGCAGAGCTTAATATTGTTTCTAATAAAAGTCTGTGAGGATTCCTTATGCGTCATGAAAAAAGTATACAGGGTGTCCTAAAAAGGTGTGCACACTGTTTGATCCTTGATAACTCTCTTGCTTTCATGTCTTTTGCCTTGCCTCAGGTAGCGTTTTGTAGAGCTGGCTTCAAATAAGATTTTCACTATGGAGCGAAACATCGATCGCTCTTCATTATTGTAGTATCACAGTAGAAACTTCGACAAGGATTTTAGAAATCTCACACTATGATAATGGAAGTTGCTGATTTCGAATGCGAAATTTTCACTTTTTGTGATGCTTCTTTCGGTTATCCCAGGTAAACCGTAATCACTGAACTTTTAGCACTTGGCAGAAATGTAATTACACCTTCAAAAAAAGCTGAAAACACTCGTTAGAAGTTGTGTAGTGGAATCAGCGTGCGCGAACACCCTGATACACAATTTTTCAGATTTTTTGAAAAAAAAATGTCAGATGGCATACTTCATAATGATTCTATATGGTGAAAGTTCCTACGGAATCCTAACAGTAACGAAGTGCGATAGGTGATTTGCTCGATACTGTAAATCTAAGCCGGATTTCGCCCACAGTATGCTACCTAAAGATCGGCAAAATACATCAAAGCGAGCAAGTTATTAATGAACAAACAGTGTGCACAATTGGGACATCCTGCTTTCGCTCTTGTTTTTAGTTCGAGAAGCTTGCCATAAAGCTTATTTTCAGATAACGATTTTACTAAGAATTATACAGGGTGTCCCAAAAAATGTATCGAACGTTTGATCGTTAATATCTCTCTTCCCAAGAAGTCTTTTGCCTTGCTTCAGGTACCGTTTTGTAGAGCTGGCTTCAACTTAGATTTCTATTATAGAACGAATCACCCATCTCTCTTCGTTACTGTAGGATTACTGTAGAAACTTGAAACATATGGTGTCAATGTGGAAAAAGCTGCCGTTTCAAAATTTTTCAAAAAATTGTGAAAACTTGTGTAATAGGGTTTTTATAGACGCTGAGTTCAATACTCAAGTATTCACAAGATTGCGAAGCTTTCTAAACGGTGCAATTGCACTTTTTAGGAACATTGAAAAGATGGCCGCTACCTCTTACCTGGCATAATTCTTCAATGAAGCATAAGCAAATTAGCCTAGTGTAAAAGTTTTCAGGCTGTTTTGTTTCCTTTCTGGGGCAAAATATGGCCTTTCATTGCTTAAAACCCTCTTTGAAGGTTCTACCGTAATCCTACAGTAATGAAGAGGGATGAGTGATTCGTTCTATAATGCAAATCTAAGTTGAGGCCAGCTCTACAGATTGGTACCTGAAGCAAGGGAAAAAGACTTCTTTAGAAGAGAGATATTAACGATCAAACGTTCGATACATTTTTTGGGACACCCTGTATTTATCCTCAAAAGAGCAAAGATCCCGATCCAATAACATCAGAGACAGCCAGCTCGCAGATCCGATAAGAATTTGCTTCTTATGCGGACAGGGCGAAGATTGCGTTGGAAACTTAAGAGCCGGGCATACATCACGAGATTTTATCGCCTCGCGATTCTTCCAGTAAGGCTAAGGGCATACCTCACGCGATTTCAGTCGCCACGCGATCTAGCAATTTGCCAGATACCTTCGAATTCAATACTGGCAAACCCCCAAATGCACAGCATATTTAGGTAAGTTTTTAGGAGCAGAGCGTTGCTGAGAATTATAAATGTTTGCAAACCATCATCATCAGTGGTCTGTCGGAACCCTTGTCTGCACGCAGTTGAGCGTGCCCTTGAGTCAAATAAAGTTGGATGATATTTTTGATGTTCTTAAAATTGTCTACTGCGCATGCAAGGCTCATCGTGTGGGTACCAGAGGGAATCGTCCCCATTTAGTAGAAGCTTTCTTTCCTAGAAAGTTTTACTGAGGACTAGCACTCTCTAACGCTCACTCCAATGTGAAAATGGCTTATTTACACTTGTAAATAATCAAAATTATCTCGAAGACTTTGAAAATTCGACTTAGCCTTGTAAAAAAAAATTTATAGGAGGCGTGGTTGCCTCCACACCTCTTTTTTAGATTTTGGAAAAGCATCCCAAAAAAAGAGTGAGTGGCTAACGCCGCAAACCTTTATCCTAAGATAATTTTTTTACCCCCCCCCCCCTCTCCCCAGTGGAAATTCTGTACGCCACCGGATTGCCAAGTACGTAAATGGATTAACTACAAAGGCGACTCGCTCATGTGTTTGACCTATCGCAAATCTCCGGTAAACCAGTAATTGAACACGGTGATAATACTCACTGGAGGAGTTATCTCTTGCAATCTGGCATTTGGTAGATAAAATCGATCATATTCATTAATTTTTTGCATGTACATAGCTGCTGTTGTAATCGTGAAACCTGGCTTTCTCTAAAAGTCGTGATTCCGAAATTGTGTCTAATCTATCGTTTTTGACAGAAGGAGGTGTTAGGGGTTCCCTTCATACTACGCGGACGCAGCAGCCTGCCGCAGCACGATGCGTCCTGCGGCTGCACCGCTGCAGTAGCAGTGAAAACATACGCTCACGGCAGCACAGCTTCGCGGTCATGGATGTATCTTTATGTTTGTTGCACGTTCGTGTTCTCCGAGAGTCTCCCACAGCGAGCGAGCTTATATTTCCACTGCAACTGCAGTGGGAATATAAGCTCCTCTTTCGGCGTTCGCCGCAGCATGCCGCAGCACCACGCAGCCTGCGGCGTAGTATGAAGGATTCCTTAGTTGCATTATCAGGAGCAACTGGATAGAGGACATTGGGAGCCGAAAAGGGAGATTCCGGGCGGAAGTTTGCAACAAACGACACGCTTTCATAATTACTGCTTCATGCTAGCTGTCAGTGAGGATGGAGCCTATCGGCGACCGAATGTCCTTCACCCGGGGCAACATATTGATAGGTAGAGTTTAGCACACTGTATCCAATATTGATTTGCTTTTTCATCATCATATGTCATCCGCCTGGTTGTAACAAATGCGAGGATGACAGCTCAAGAGTTTTTATAGATTCAAAATCGACCAGCTACGGTGATTTGACCACACCAAGATCAGTATAGCATTTATTCGGCCAACTTTCGAGGTGACGGTCAAGAGAGTATCTATTGTGAAATTGAATGGAATCACATGGCCCCATTCGAACCATGGCAGGAAGGGAGCCGGCTTATAAAATCAATTGAACGCGCACTCTATAGGACTCCAAAAGGATCGGCACCCACATTCGAAGAAATGTCGACCATACATTGATACATCTTCCGCTGATGCACGAGCTACGCGCAGTGTGGACTAGTGCTAACGCGCCAGGATGACACTGTAAGATAAATTCAAATTCGACCTCATACACATCACAACATAGTCTCAAGTCTCATTTGCCCGAGCGTGCCTGTTTCCTTTTCCAACTTCTACTTCTACTTCTAATACTTTTTTGACTTCTGATCATAAGTATTCAAAAAGTATCAATGATTTTTACGTCTTTTGAAGCTTTCTTGTGAACTACCGATGAGGGCCGACAAGAAAGCTACACATCCGGTATAGTTCTAAGGCCCGAAACCGGTTGTGTGTAAACATACACATATATTTCTAAGTTTGTATCTTGTCTTCTAGCTCAAGTAGTACTTAGATATGATAACTTCCTTTGTTTCATATACTCGCCGAAATTGAGGCCCTAGTCAACACAAGACGCCTCAATATGCGTTCGGATCCGTGCAACCAATCATCATCAATCGACTTCTTGGAAAGGAAAACAAGATAACTCTCAAAAGATACAGATCCAGTTCCAGATACAACCTGATGTCCCTGAGGAAAGCTGATTGTAAAGCAGAAAACAGCGCTCAGCACCTTCGGATGTCTCCATGTATCACACTAATGTTATCATTCCTACGTCTGTGTGGACAATAAGTGCTCTAAAAGCTAAGCCTAATACAGTTGAGAACTACCTCTGCCCTTTAGCACAGAATGTTCACAAAACTTCAAATATCGAATACATAAGGAAACTCCCAGCACGCTGTGCTCCTACACATACGCAACGCCTATGCATTTTCTTCAAACGAATATATCGAGCCACATCGAAAAAGCTCATATCAGATACAAGTGTAGCGAAACAAGGTGGGTCTTCACCAGTACCACACATAGTAAATTTGAATTATATACTTTCAACATCTCCCTCAAAAGACTGGACGACGACGTCAGATGCCTGCCTAACCGGAAAGCTGCTTGAGACCGAATTCGAGGAACACTCAGTCTGATAAGAGAACCGATCGCTCGACAAGTAGCCACCGCAATCTGCATAGGCGAAGAGTACGAACACCTATGAAAAACAAGTCTTCTCAAGAGGGAAAACCGCGGGAGCAGTTTCTATTTACAAGCCGATTACACCCTGCTACGAAAGAGCAAGGAACGTTATCTCACCCTATGTACACGTTATTCGCTCTTTAACAAGTGCTACATTTTCATCCACTAGGAAAGGCAAGCAAAAAATGGGCATAACTCCGACGAAACTGCGTTACGAGAGAGAGCATAATAGAACGAACAGATAACCTTATTAAAAGGATTGAAAAACGACACTACAATGCAGGGGGAATCTTCGATTTATAGAGAACTAGCTGGCATACCCGGCTCCGCCGTATGTTTCGAATACAAAATTCCATTTCTTGACCGATCGGGACCAAACTTGGCACACATACACTTCGGGCCCCGGCAGGTGTCACAGTCCACTTTTCGTTATCGATCGATATTTTATCGATTTTTTGCAAAATTTGAGCTAGGGGGCTGGGATTTGGCACAGGGGGGTAATCGAGCATGCTGATTACGAA